CCCCCCCCCCCTCCCCAAAAAAAGAAACGAAAACGAGGGCCGAATCTTGCTCTAGCAGAGGTGCCTCCGGCTCCTCCGGCCGCAGGTCCCGCAGAAGTAGGAAGCCCTGCTTCCTGGACTCCAAGAGCGGCCTGGGCCACAGGGGCGGCTTCGCAAAACTACGGCTGGTAGCATGTTTAAAGGCCCTTATGTTAGGGTTTAGGGTTTAGGGTTTAGGGTTTGGGATTTAGGGTTTAGGGTTTAGGGATCCCAGATGATCCTACTACCGAGGGTTTCATCGGCGGTTCCTTCTTTTCTGAAAGTCCCACAGATAACGGGCCCAAGATCGCCATCAGCATCGTGGAGTCGTGTTCGTGGCAGTCGCATACACTAGTACTACTTGAGAAGATAGGAAGAACATCAAACACGGCAGCAGAACTTATCAGTCCGGTTCTGCGGGGTTGCAGTACAGCCTGAAACCCCAAACCCCGAACGGCAACCCTCAACCCCTCAAGCCCGAAACCCCTGAATTAATCTAGACCTCAAAACCTGAAGCCCTGAGCCCCGAAAATACCAAAAACGAGCCGGAAAAGAAGCCAAAAAAGAAGCCCAAGAAAGGCCGAGCCCAGTACTTGTACCGCGCAGTCGTTCCGGAGACCTCCTGGACAGGCGAAAAAGATCCGAAATGAAATAGGAGAGGGGGAGGCTTTAGGTTTTGAGTCTTGAGGGTTTTGGAGCTATTGGCCTTAAGGTTTACGTTCAGGGTTTAGCGCATTTTAGGGCTTCACGGTTTCAGGGGTGTTAAGGGTCGGGGGTTTAGAGGCTTAGGGCTTTCGCAGTTTATTTGGAGCGTGGGGATCCGGAGTTTGAGCCAGGCTATTTGCGGACTGGGTGTGCTTTGTCTTCGGTTTTGGGGCGTGGGGGTTTTGGGGCTCAGGAGTCGGGAGGAAGCCTGGGAAGGTGTGTTGCTGGGAACTGCTCCGGGGGTTTCCACAAAGCGCTTGCAGGGCCATTGTCATATCCGAGGTTTAGGATTGCGGCTTTAAGGAGTCGCAGGAGCAAAACAAGAAGCAGAGTTCGGCACTGTCGGGAATGCGCCGCGAAGACGAACACGACATGCAAACCACGGAATGCTTATAGCAATCCCGCGGCTTCGAAACCAGCTAACAGAACGGAGGACAGTGGGGGCATGCCTTCCTATTGCTCTACCACCGCCTCTGCAGCCAGCTCACCCCAAACCCTAAACCCCGAACCCTAAACCCCTAAACCCCAAACCCTAAACCCTAAACCCCAAGCCCTAAACCCTAACCCCCAAACCCCAAGCCCTAAACAACACATCTTCGGCGCCTTCGGGAAGGAGATGAACTGCACCTGCCCCTTGAGAACCTCAGCTTCTGATGCCTCCTTCTCTAGGGCTCATTAGGGTTTAGGGTTTAGGGTCTAGGGTTTAGGGTTTAGGGTTTGGGGTTTAGGGTTTAGGGTTTAGGATTTAGGGTTTAGTCTTCCGATTATTATTGTATGATTGTATTAGTCTTACTGTTAGTGTATTAGTATTGTCATCATCAGTATTGTTATAGTTTTTGTTATTGTCAAGACTCTATCTCCGGACGGCTTCCGGACCACGGGATGATGTGGCAACAGGGCTGCTCATTGTGGCGATAGCTTAGCTTTCATGTTCTAGCCCCTAAACCCTAAACTCTAAAGCCTAAACCGCCACCGTCTATGGAGCTGCCAGAGGCCGGAGCTTGGGCATTGACATAGGCGGCAGGGCTTCACCCCAAAACCCGAAAACCCCAAACCCTGAACCCCAAAACCCTGAAGCTAAAAGCCTGAACCCTAAAAACCCAAAAAACACTGAATCCTAAACCCAAAACCCCGAATCCTAAACCCAAAGCCCTCAAAGGGAGCCCTTAAAGGAACCCTTACCGGATCCCTTCAAGGAACCCTTAAAGGATCCCTTGAAGGAACCCTCAAAGGAGCCAAAGCTTCAAGCTGGATAAGCCTGCCTTAGGGTTTAGGGATGGGTTTAGGGCTTAGGGTTTAGGGTTTAGAGTTTAGGGCTTAGGGCTTAGGGTTCGGGGTTTAGGGTTTAGGGTTTAGGGTTTAGGGTTTAGGGGCTGGCTTGGCCCCGGGCGCGGCAAGGGTTGCTCAAGATCTCCTGCGTGGCAATCAACAATGTGCTTTGATGTAGTACGATATACTAGAATACACACAAATACTACAATATACTAGTAGGTAATATACATCAACCATACCATAAAACCTGTATAATATACCAGAATAGAGTACAGTAGAACATACCTCAATACACAGACCAAACAACCAGTATTATACGGTACATACGGTCTCGGGGAGGATTGTCTCTGTGATCTGCGGACTTTGGTACATGGCTTGTTTGGGCTTGGGTTCCACTAGGGCTTCTGGCTTCAGCATACCCGAAGGTAATGAAAGCTTTCAGCAGGCTTCAGATGCAGGTGTCCCATCGTACGCTTAAAATAGGAGCCTGAATAAATAATTACCAATACTATTTTGTTCCTTCTGATAAATGTAGATTCATGGGTCCCAAAACCCTATTCTAATAATTAAGGCCCCTATATTATAGTCAGCGTTCAAAGGTTCCGTCGACATTGCGGCTTGGTCCACCGCTGCGCTCCTACCCCCGCACCCTGCATCCTGAACTCTGAAACCTCAGAGCAAAGACCAAGCCTCCTGGCCCACCTTTTCAGCGCCTTTTCTCTGAATCCTGTAAAGAAAACTGAAAGCATTCAACCCTAAACCGACAAGCCCTAAACCTGAAACCCTAGATCTGTCCTCGGTAGGCTCGGGCTCAGGCTTTTTCTCCTCCTCCTTCAGGATTTCGTGTTCATGGTACAGGCTCCAAGGTTGTGGAAGTTGGAATCAGCTGAGGAGTTGGAAGTTAGGTTTCCAAAATCATGGTGTAAGCCTGTAAGTTGCGCAGGCTTCTGGAGTATGTGTTGCAGCCTTGGACCTTCCACAGCTTGTGGCACTGGCCATTACACTCCTTGGCCCTGCCAACTCTGAGGATGTTGATGATGAAGATGATCTTATTAACCATTATCCTCGTCCTCATCTTCTTTTTCATCATCGTTGTCATCGTGAACGGCGTCACCTTCATCAGCATCACCACCATCACCACCACCATCATCATCACCATCATCATCACCATCGCCATCACCATCACCCTCACCATCATCACCATCGTCATTGCGATTACAGCAAGTGTGCCACATCCGCCACTCTCCAGAGTCATTCCGGCCTTCTTCTCATCCTTCTTATCCGCTGCCTGACAACCAGGAGTGAGAGGTGAAAATTACTCCTTCCACCCGATTCCTTGCTGCTCCGACTGCCGGAGCCCACGCAGAATCTGGAGACTGACAACGCAAGCGAATGAATTTGCGCAGCAAGCCGTCATCCCAGCAAAAAAAGCCCTCAAACCGCTCCGAAACCGACCCCAGCGCCACCTTAGCCCTGCAAGGAAGCGCCTCGCTTTTGGCTTCGCCTTTGGCCTCATCGGCCTTTGCTTCCTGCACACAGGGGATCTCATGCCGCGCACGAGGGGTTTGGTGTGCCAGCACACATGAGACTTGAAAGCCGAACCCTACCGAAGGCCCTAATGTAGGGGCCTTGATAGTTAGAATAGGGTTTTGGGGCCGATTATACTATAATTCGTAATTAGAATAAGGAACCCCCAAACAGCAAAGATAATTACCAAGGCCCCTATATTACCAACTTCTACTTTTTCTTGAAGCACCAGGTGTACTGCCACTGGCCGGGATTATGAAACGAATGCTGATTGTGAGTGTCGGTGCTACTGTCGAGGGTTACGGTCTTCAGGCCCGGTCCCCAAAGGTTTAGGGTTTAGGGTTTAGGGTTTAGGGTTTAGGGTTTAGGGTTTAGGGTTTATAACGAAAGCAACGCATCGAAAGCAACCCCCCAAGGCTTAGTTGGGTCCCCCAAAACATCCCAAACCCTGAACCCTAAACCCTCAAACCCTAAACTCTAAACGCTTAAACCCTAAAACCCTAAACCCTAACCCTAAACCCTAAACCCTAAACCCTAAAGCAACCCAAGGCTTAGTTGCGACCCCAAAAAAAATCCGCAAGAAAGAAACGCCTCAGCGCTCGAAGCCTGAACCCTAACCCCCCAACCCTCAGCCATGTGGGTAGTTTTCTAGATCAGGGTCCCTTTAGGGGTCCCTTTTTATAAGGGTGCCGTACTACATTGAGGACCTAAAAAGGGACCCTAATTTAGAGAACTACCCATGTAGAGAGGAATGTAGGGGCCTTGATGGTTAGAATAGGGCTTTTGGGGTTCCTTTAAGGGCTCCTTAAAACGGTTCTGTAAGGGTGACTATACGGGTATAATGTAGGGGCCTTGATGATTAGAATAGGGCTTTGGGGTAAGATTCTACTATAATCATGCTAAGGAACCAAATCATTAGAATAGGGTTTTGGGGTATACTCTACTAGAGTTGTACTAAGGAACCCCAAAAAATAGTATAGGTGATGATTAAGGCCTCTTTTTTACACCCTAACCGTCAAAGCCTTAACTGGAAGTTAGGGTTAGGGGGACCCTTGGGGATATAGACCCTCTCACTCAGGTCCGTTGTAAGAGAGCCACAAGTAGGGGGAAGAAGGGTCCCCTTTAAGGGGGGGTCTCCCTACTACTACCTAGGATGAACTGCAAGGTCCACGCCTTGGGGGCTGGCTTCTCTGCAGGGGGCGCCTGCGGGTCGTCCACCTGGACTTCGTCACTTGGGGCTTAGAGTTTAGGGCACAGTATCTACTGCAAAGTCCCAGCTCTTTTGCTGCGTTCAGGTCGATGTGAACCGGGGATATGTACCACTGTTTGACGGACGAGACACTCCAGCATCAAGAGATCGAAGTACTTGAAATGTCCCTTCGTGGAAGCATGTGCTGACAGGTTGAGTGACCTTAATGCAGGACTTGTTTTAACAAGCGGGGTGATAGTTAACATACTCTGCGGGGCGCCAGAGGAGTTTAGATTATCGGTGTTTAAGGCGAGACTGAGGCCCCTGAGCCGAAAACCCTTAACCGGTTGGAAGTGCTTCGAAGCTGAACTGCAGAACTTGGGTTGCAGGCTTCGGGTCACATTTCCAGTGCACGTGTTGCGTTGTAGCTGCTAGTTCGGGCAATGAAGAGCCCATGACACAGAACCTAGCTAACACAATCCCTAAACATGATTAAGATGAGTATGGACAACCTACTCCTAGGTAACGTGGCTGTTGGTGACTCCGGTGATGCATCGCTTTTGTAGCTGGACCTAGAGGCTGAACCGCTGCGGGCTGCACCGAATAGCTAAACAGAAATGAGACTCTGAGCCCTTACGCTACGACCTAACCTGAACTAAACCACCCGACAACGCAGACCCTAAATCCTAAACTGGAGCCCTCAAACTTAAACCCAAAGCCTCAACCCTAGAAACCCTAAATCCCTAAACCCTCAACCCTAGAAACCCTAAACCCTAGAAACCCCAAATCCCCACCCGGCCTCCATCATCTCACTGCCCAGGTCGCTCTGTGCCGCGACCGACTCGGTGGCTGCCGAACCGACCACTGTGGTGCCTGACACGGGGCCGAAGAGATACACTTAATGTACGGTTTAGGGTTTAGGGTTTAGGGTTTAGGGGTTTAGGGGTTTTGGGTTTTGGGTTTAGGGTTTAGGGGTTTAGGGTTGAGGGTTTAGGGTTTAAGGTTTTAGGGTATAGGGTTTAGGACCGAAGAGACAAACTTAATGTAGGGGCCTTAATAATTGGAACAGGGTTTTGGGGGCTCC